AATGACACAACCATTATGTTAACCGCTGGTCCCGAAATATGTACACTATTAAACTTTATCTGAAGTGCAGTAACTATTTACTGAACACTTTGTCCTAAGTATTATGCTAGGTGATAGAGATCCAATGATAAATAGCAAACTTTCTGCCAACAAGTTGCTTACTGCTCAGAGAGGCAGAGAATCCTATCAATAGTTAGCACTGATGTAAGTTTCTTGTATGGTTTGAATAATCATCAACCTGTGTTGATTGGTTGCTACTTTCACCAATGCCTGAATCTAAATGGTCAACAGAAACCAATCTCCTTCTAAGAGCTAGGACACAATGGGTGAACAGATCACCCCTTTCATATTCCTTACCTTTTTGGTTTTAGTGCTGTCACTTCCCTGGGAACAGAATCTGAAGTCCTTTGCTGCCTCAACATACCTTCTCTTGCTCAACAAGTTCATTGTAATCCAAATCACACAAAGCTTATTACTTCCACACCATCCCATACTAAAATGTATCTGTGTTGCATCTCTACCTCTGGAATATCAACCAGAACACATGGAAAAGAAAGTCTGTACCAGTGTGTGCCAGTAAAAATGAAGAGTTAGTGGGAAGAATGCCAGACTCAGTTACTGCACCTGTAGAAGTGACTTGGGGTTCTATTATCAAAAACTTCATTCTCTTATCATAAGGTAAAAACAATAAAATATGATCTATTTTGTGGGATAGTTTTGAGTATGCAATAATATAACATTTGCAAATACATCTTGTAAAACTAAAAGCTCTTTACGAATGTGAGAGCTTATTTATAGCATTCATCATTATGATTTTAATGTTTGGTCTTCAAGAAATGTACATTTATCAAAGAGAGGTAAGGGGAATATAAAAATAACTACGACAAATAGCAGAAAGTAGTAATGCGGGTTGGAAGATCAAGGATGGGATTTCATTATCACTAAGTGTAAAGAACATAGAATGTCTATGTTCCACGCTCTTATCTCAAAAGCATTAAATGAAAAATATTATGGGACCAGCAGTTGGCGTAATGGCTATGTCGCTGGACTCCCATGTAGTCGACTGTGGTTCGTGTCCCGGACCCGGAGGCTTAAACTCACGCTGGGCATGTGTGCGTGCGTACCCAGGATCCCAAGAGGAGAATGGAGAAGAAGGGATTGCAGTGTGGCCATCCCCCCTCAGGGGTGATTTCTCGCATACTGTCTCTCTCTGTCTTTCTGGCGAGCGCACGTGCCTTATAGAAAAAACCTCTCCAAAAAAAAAAAAAGGAAAAGAAATGTTTAAAAGGACTGTTTTCTTAGAATATCACATATTGTCGTATAAGTAAAATTTTGTCCTGGCCTATATTTTTTTTCCCCTTGGGAATATTGAGAGTGAACAGTTTTAGTAATGCCCAAACTCTCAGAACAACTCTAAACATAAAATTAGTTACTTTTCTTCTTCTTTGAAGTTTCTTCTTAATTCTTCCTGACCCTGCTCTGGTCTGAATGTTTATATCCCCCCAAAATTCTTGGGTTGAAAACCTAAGCCCTAAGATAATAGTATTAGGAGATAGGGCCTTGGAAAGGTGATTAGGTCATGAGGGAGGATCCTTCTTGAATGACATTAGTCCCTTCTAAGAGAGGCCCCAGAGAGCTGTCTTGCCTCTACCATCATGTAAGATGGTACTGTTCTATGAACCAGATAAAAGGCTCTCACCAGACACCAAATCTACCAGCTTCTTGGTGTTGGATGTCGACCTCCAGAAATTTTATAAACTTCTGCTGCTTATAAGCTGACAGTTATGGTATTTTGTTAATAGCAACATGGATGGACTAAGACATCCACCAAAAAAATAAGATGGTTATCTGTCTTTGGAAGTAAAGCAGCACTCCCTAACCACTTAGCAATGTAAGCATGAGAAGATTCAAGGTTTATAGCCAAGGTTATAGCCTAATTGGAAAGTAGGCCCTGCTATTTAATTATAGTTAGAAAGGGCTTTGTGTTAATTACAGATGCTCCTCAACTTAGGTTAGGTTTACATCATGATAAACAATCATAATGGGAAAATATTATAAATCAAAGATGCATAAAATACACTTAATCTACTAAACATAATAGTTTAGCCTAGCCTACCTTAAATATGCTCAGAACATTTATATTAGTATAGAGTTGGACAAAATCATCTAACGTAAAGACTATTTTGCTTGTTTATTTTTTGTTATTTTTCACAGAAAGAGGATCATTTGGAATAGAAAATACTAGGTTTGGCCATCTTTAGAAATACCACCTGCCACAAAGTCAGAGGCCTTCTAGATACTACACAGGTTCTACATAGTTTTACTGAGAGAGATAGAGCATTCTTAAAGACAGGTAATTCCTGGAAGTAGATCTCTTAAGTGATTTCAAAAGAACTCTCAGCAATGCCTTAATTTAGAAATAAGAGAAACTGCATCCTGGTACTACTTAGAAGTCTTCTTTACTATTTGAGAACTAAGTTTCTTCATGTCACTCAATCTTTTTCTTTTCATCTTTGTGCCCTCAGGGCTAGAGTTTTAGTAGTATTCCTTACAGTTGGTGACCATAAAACCATTTCACTGATACCAGAGTCTTGTCTGTTTATGTATTTTTTAATAAGTAGAATGAGTAATAACTAGCTCACTAGATACTTAAGATACAAATAAAAAAGAAAGAGGTAGAAAATAGTCAAGATTTGTTCCAGAAAAAATGATCAAATCTGTCACAAGACTATTTCTATGAAAAGATCAGTGCTCTAAAACTTACTTCCTATGATGAAATTATAGTGGTTTATCAGAAAAGTCATGTTCTGTATCATCTTAGATTTCAATTGGCCTCTTACCAAGAGAGAAGCTATTGCTTGGGCCTTTTGTTGTTCATAACAAGGAAAAATGGTAGATGTTTTTTATTTCAGTAACAGTGGGCAGTGTTCCACTGACTATGGTGGTTAGGCTTAAGTTAGATAATTTTAAGTTATCTTCCATCTTCTGTTCTGCAAATATTCATTGTCTGCCAAATGTCAGCATTATCTGTCTACATAGGATTAAATAAGAGTAGAATCAATCTATTTCTGGCACTACACATGCCGTTCAGAAGCTCTAAATAGCTACTAATAAATATTTACATTTCCTTTTATTACAGTGTCTACAGGTTTAGTGTGTTTACCTGTATTCTCGTTCATGGTGATATTTTGTTCATTGTATCTGGAATTTCTATTAGTTCTATGACTTTTATATGTCATTTTCTCCCATCATCAATAGCCTCCATCTTTGTTTCTTAGAGTTTCACTGAGGATTATTAATCTCCTTTGTTTTCTTGTCATTTATTTGATCATTTCTAAGTCTTTTTCAAATTCAGCTCATTTTTTTATTTCTTAAAACTCTTCAACCTATAAGTTAAACTCTAAAATATATATATATATATATATATTTGAATGGATACCTTTAAGCCTTTTATTGTTATGGCAGCCTGTTTGCCTGTGTTTGAGATCTGGTCCTACCCTAATGTTGGTTGTTCAGTAGGACAGTTGGAGTAGGTTGTATTATAAGGTAAAGGTGTTTAATGAAACAAGAAAACGTGTAACTTTATAATCAGTTACTACTTGTCACTTTTTGTTGTTAAAATTTTAAATGAACAGGTATGATTTTTACTTGGGTGTTTATTCATGGGCTAGAGTAACCATGTAAAATCATGATTCAGACTTTGAGGACATACTTAAATATTTTTTATCTTCAACTTTAATTGCTCATTGTTTTAGGGTTCACTAAAAAAGAAAGAATTTAAATTGTAAGCTTATCACAGAGGAGGGTAACACTTTCCCTTTGATCTTAGGGTACACTGTTTTTGAGTATCTTACCTTGCTTCTCTATTGCTCCTCCACCT